CTGGGCCTTCTTGGGAATCTGAAATTTATACTGGTTAAGGCAGTGTTTCTCAAAGTGTGGATCTCACACTACCTGCATCTAAACCGTCTGTAGTGCTTGTTTAAAATGCAGACTCCCGAATCCCACCAAAGACTCACTGAAAGAAAATTTCTGGAGGTAAGGGTGGTCTTTGATTATTCTTTTGTAATCAAAGAGTAATTGATCCCTGCTTGTTATAGCATTCAACAAGATATATTTCTTTGCTTATCTGTTTGTCTCTCCTGTAAACTCCTTCAGAGTAGGTATTGTATTATTCAATACTTTTATATCCCAAACCCTAGGGTGGGCACATTTAATTGCTATAGTTCTCAAAGGGTGGTCCATGGACTCTGGGGGTGAGGTTGTAGAAACCTTTTCAGGGATCACAAACTATTCCTTAATAACTAAGACATGATTTGCCTTCCCCCACCCCCTCTGTTGATACAAAAGTACTGGTGGGTAAAACTGCTGGCGCCTTAGGCAGGAATTAAGGCAGTGGAAACAAATTGTTCTATCAGTCATTGTCCACTGCTGTGCATTCATAATAAAAAACAGTACCAGTTTCACTTAAGAATACTCTTCATCAAGCAGCAAAAACTAATTTTATTAACCCTAAGTTCATACTTTTTCATATTCTATATGACAAAATAATATGTATAAAACATTTCCACCTTCTGAAGTATGCTGGTCTCTTGAGGAAAAGGCACTTGACTGATTATTTGAATTGGTAACTGAACCAGCTACTCTTTTTTCCATGGAACATTTTTATTTGACTTGCTATTGCAATTGTTAGGTATTTGGCAGAACTTTTCTTGAAAATATGGGAAGGGAAAAATTCCCCTTCCTCTGGTTCTTTTGGCTGGCTGAATAATCACAACAAGAAATTGACAAGAGAAAATAAAATTTACTTTCATGTGCGTAGGAACCCCACATACACGAGAGGTTTAAACAGAAAGGGAAAATGAATATATAAAACATTTGAGGTAGGAATCAGGGAAGGCACCTTGGGGCTTCAGAAGGTCATTGCAGGGAGAGCACATGTTCTGTAATTAGTAGTTTGACCTACCATATAAGTAGGTCCAAAAAGGTTATCCCTGATAATCTCTTATTATGGGCAAGGCTTCTCATTCAAAGTCCTCCAGATAGTGAAGGGTGTGGGGGAAGAAGTTTCTTCTGAGCCCACAAGATCTCCTTTGCCTTTAGCTCAAAAATAATCCACATACCACTTAAGGCACATCATGGGATGGCTCTTCTGAATCCCCACAAAAACAAAGTGAGCTTGTCACTGCAAGGAAAACAATGGACAGTATTTGTTGCCAGTGGTAAAATCTGACCTTTTCAAGAAAAAAGTAGAATTTTGGAAAACTTTGCTGTGCTATGAACTTGACAGCTTTCCAATACTTAAAAGATTTTTCTGGGATTGGTGGTAATTTTAAAAAATATATAATAAGATCTGGTAATATTTGGAAGACTACATAGCTCAAGTGAACTGGCATTTTCCAAGACAACAACACATGTCATAAATAGTTTATAGGTAAAAGATCCATTTAAAGTGCCAAGTAGACCAATGGATTTTAATGTATTAGAGCACTACAAAAAATTCATTGATATATTTTCAGATTGCACATTGCAACTAATTTTTAAGAAGCTACCATTTGCTGAATTTTAGTGTAGTTATTAAAAATAATATTTACAATTACCTGAAAAGGCTATGAAAATTACTCTTTCCTTCTCCCAACTACATAGTTGAGTGAGGCTGGATTGTCTTCATATACTTCAAAACTAAAATCGTAATAGATTAAATGCAGAAGCAAATTTGGGGATCCAATGGTTTTCTGTTAAGCCAGACATTAAAGAAATTTATGAAAATGTGAAGCAACATCATTCTTTTCTATGACTTTTAAGTTATCTTGAAAAAGTTATTTTTCTATAAAAATATTTACACAAAATGTTATTTTAAAATGAATAAATTTTAAATTTCTGTTATAATTTCTAGTATAGTAAATAGTTATAAGTACAACCTACATACACATCACTCTTTAGGATCCAGTTCTGTCACTTAAATTACTCTGATTTTAGGTAAGTTATTTAGGTGCAGGCTGTGAAGACAAGACTGTTTATAATTTTGGCTCTGTATTTGCTGGTAGTATGGCTTTTGGTAAGTCATTTTACCTCTGCAAAGAGGGAAAGTATAGTATCTACTTCATCAGGTTGCTCTGCGGACTAAATGGCATTATACTTGTAAAATGCTTACTTTACACCTGTGCCTACAACATAGTAAGAGCTCAGTAAATGCTAGTTACTATTTTTATTAGTTTATTAGCCAATCATCTGACAAGATCCTAGAGAATGGGGCGCAGTCCTGGCTTTCTTCATGCTCTCCGTAGAGAACAGAAGTTATTTTGGTGTTATAAATTTGAGAAGGTATAAATAAACTTGTTGATATATATGCGAGGCTGTTAACCTATAGGATAACTGACGTTATAAAATTTTCCTCTTTCAGTTTTTCTTGTTCTCAGTGTCTAAAGAAATAACAAAACTGATCCCAGCAGGTGTGGCTCAGTGGTTGAGCGTGAACCTATGAACCAAGAAGTTTCTGTTTCTATTCCCAGTCAGGACACATGCCGGGGTTGCAGGCTCAATCCCCAGTAGGGAATATGCAGGAGGTAGCCAATTGATGTCTCCCTTCCTCTCATATTAAAAACAAAACAAAACTGAAAAACATTACCTAAACCCTTGCCCTAGAATACTCAATTATTACCCCAAAGGAGTTGAGGTCTTCCAGAGAAATAACTGCTCAGCTTCATGACTGTGGGAAATTCGTTTAACTTTTCACTTCATTTATGTCATCTTGTTTGAACAAAAATATCTAGTCTCCAACCTCCCTGCAGCTTTTAAATCCTGTCAAGCTCACCTCTACCTCTATTAGAGATACCTTTTTTGGCAGCCCCTAGATCCAAATAAATGCAAGGGGGCGGGGGCCAAGCCCTAGTCTAGAGATAACCCTTTATCCTTGCAAGTGCCAATTGCATCCGTCCTCCCCAGCACCCAGATGTGTTAGTCTGGATAGACAAAGCTGCTGGCGCCCTATCGTCCTATTTTTCACCAGGGGCGTGGCACCCAGCGTCTCCCGTGGCTTCCCGCACCACCCCTGGGGGCCCATCAGTAGGGTAAGGGTTAGCCAGAGCGTCTAGGCAGGCGGCCTGTTTTCCCAAGTATTAAGCGAGAGGGCTGGGCTTTCCTCCTTCCTCTAACTCAAGTGCCAAGGGCTGCCCTACAGCTACGAGGTCTTCTTCCGCAACCCAGCCGCCTACTGACCTCCGGCCTCACACCGCCCGCGGGCTCAGGGCGGAGGGCACAGCGCACTTACGACCCGCACGCCCAGCGGCCCCGCGCTCCGGCTCTCTGCCCGCAGGGAGGAGCCACA